CCCACCACAACGCCTGGCTATTTTTTGGTTGCAGCCATCATTGTTGTTTGGTGAGCCTGGGCTGGATTCAAACCCGCCAGCTCAGGTGTACATGGCTGGCGCTTTAGCCACTTGAGCCACAGGCGCCGAGCCCCTATTTCTACAAAAAATAGAAAAACTAGCTGGGTGTTGTGGCAGGTGCCTGTAGTCCCAGCTACTCAGGAGGCTGAGGCAGGAGGATCATTTGAGTCTAGGAGTTTAAGGTTGCTGTAAGCTGTGATGTAACTGCACTCTAGCCTGGGGCAACAAAGTGAAACTCTGTCTCAAAAAAAAGAAAAAAAAGTAATTAAGTTTATGGAAAACAGTATAGAGAATTATCAAAGACCCCAAAATAGAACTACCATTGTATCTAGCAATCCCACTACTGGGTATCTACCCAAAGGAAAAGAAACTATTATATCAAAAAGAGACCTGCACTCGTTTGTTTATCCCAGCACTATTCACAATAGCAAAGATACACACACACACACAATGGAATACTATTTGGCCATAAAAAAAGAATGAACTCATGTCTTTTGCAGCAACATGGACGGAGCTGGAGGCCATTATCTTAAGCGAAACAACTCAGAAACAGAAAGATGAACACTGCATATTCTGACTTAGAAGTTTGAGCTAAATAATGTGTACTCATAAACATAGAATGTGGAATCATAGACAATGGAGACTCCGAAGGAAGGGGAGCTGGGAGGAAGGTGGAAAATTACCACCATGGAAAATTACCTAATGGTTATAATGTATACCAACAGGGAGATGGTTCTACTAAAGGCCCAGACTTCCTCATTACACGCATTATATCCATGTAACAAAATTATACTTTTGCATCTTAAATTTATACAAATTAGTTAAAATAATTAAGCTCGCATAAACAGAAAAAGTAATAAATAGAAATGGACACATTTTCTGAACATGAATATATACATATACGTATGTGTGTATATGTATGTGGATGGATGGATAGATAAGACAGATAATCTCTTACTTTTATTAGCCCTATAACCAGAATCTTCATCAGGAAAACCAAGAGGCATTTCCTCTAAGAGCAGGAATAAAATAGATGCCCACTATAGCTCCAATAACTACTCAAATTGTCCTAGACAATGCAAGTAAACAGGATAAATAAATCAAAGGTATAATAATTGGGAAAGAAGTAAAACTATTTCTATTTGCAGATGATACAAACAATGTATATAGAATTGAACAAAGTAGCAGGACATAAAATTAGCATACAAAAATCAAGCCTTCTAGCTCGGCGCCCATAGCTCAAGTGGCTAACGTGCCAACCACATACACCAGAGCTGGCAGGTTCGAATCCAGCCGGGGCCTGCCAAACAACAATGACAACTACAATGGGCATTGTGGTGGGCACCTGTAGTCCCAGTTACTTGGGAAGCTGAGGCAAAAGAATCACTTAAGCCAGGAGTTGAAGGTTGCTGCGAGCTGTGACATCACTGCACTCTATTGAGGGCGACAGCTTGAGGCTCTGTCTCAAAAATTAAAAAAAATCAAGCCTTCCTATATTCAAACATTAACTTGGTAGAGGATATAATGACTGAGAAATACCCTCCATACTAGCAACACAGAAAATTAAATTACTTAGGAATAAACTTAACAAGATATGTGCAAAATAACTCTATAAGGAAAACTTTAACAAACACTGTAAGTAAACTTAAAGGACTAAAAAGACATCCCCATTTATAGGGTAGGATGACTGGATATCAGTTTTCTCAAAGTAAATATTGCATTATAAACTTAAGGCAGTATCAATAAGAACATCAATAGACTTTTACTGAAGTTAGACAAGACGATACTGAAGTTCATGTGGAAGAACAATCATGCAAAAATACACTGAAAAAGCAAAAACTACAAAAGGGACTGAATGTTAAAACATTCTACCTCAGCCTCTAATTAAAACAACATGGTACTGTCGAATACAGAGATGAACAGACTATTGAGTTAAAACAGAAAGCCCAGGAATAGACCCAGCATATATGGGAAGTAGGTAAATGAAAAAAGGGCCATCTCAGATCACTGGAGAAAAGGTTGGCTTCTTAATAAATGGTGATGGGAAACTGGATAGCCAAACAACAGAAGAATGGAGTGATGCAGACCGATTGTGTGGAGGAGACCACTCTAGACCACAAGTGGACTTCAGTATAAAATCATCCCCTCACCTCTCCCAATGTAGACCCAAGTACCAAAGAGATGTCCAGCTATGTTTATTACTATCATGCAATTTGCAGAAGGAAACATGTAGGGCAAATTCAAGGATATTAATGGTATTCATTTTAAAGGATGTTCTGTTGTCAATTAATCACCAAAAGTCATCAGAGTGCTGGTACCTGGCTGACTCCCTAAGGCTGGCTGGCTTTCTTTCTTTCTTTCTTTCTTTCTTTCCTTCCTTCTTTCTTTTTTATTTTAATTTTTTGCATCTTGAAAAAACACTTTAAGTAATAAGGATTTTTAATAAGCTCTTCCCATTTCACACCCCCACCCCCCATTCACGGCTGGGGCAAGGTCAGGCTTGGGAACTACTGCCTCAGTTCTTAGGCCAGCACCCAGGAAAGACCACATATTTGCCAGCTCAAACAGTGATATATTTGGCTTGTTTTTTGCCTATAAATCTTTCTGAGGGAGGAAATGCTTCGTGGGATTCTAGCTGCTCGTCCTGTCGTCAGGGCCAGCCTGCCTCTGCCATCATCAGATCCCTTTCCCGCAATTCTGATGAGAAGGGAGAGAATTCCTCTGGAGTGTCACCTCGGGAACATGCTCAGCCCCTGGCTATCCCCTCCTCACCCCGCCATCCTGGGGGAGGAAGAGCCTTTCGAGTCATTTTGGGAGGAGGAGTCCGGTGCGGCCAGCTCTTTCTGCCTCCGTTTTGGCACTCATCTGCTTGCTGAGAACAAACACTCTGCTCTCCCCAGGTGGTCTGTTTTGGAGAAGCAGACTCTCGCGGGGTGTGGAGTTGGTGGATCATGGGTATCCTGACCTTACCGGGGCTTGGGGCGCTCTTCCTTACTCTCGGGGAAGCACCGGCGTTATCCAGACGGGGTAGTACGGCTATTGCGCTAAAGAGAGCTCGAGCGCCACCTGCCGGACGCTCAGCTCAGGCAAGAGGAAAAATAACGGCTTTTTTTTTTTTTTTTTTTTTTGGCCGGGTCTGGTTTTGAACCCGCCACCTCCGGCATATGGGGCCAGCTCCCTACCCCTTTGAGCCACAGGTACCACCCTTAATTTTTTTTTTTTTTATGACACAGTCTCACTATGTTGCCCTCGGTAGAGTGCTGTGGCGTCACAGCCCACAGCAATGAAACTCTTGGTCTTAAGCAATTCTCTTGCGCCTCAGCCTCCCAAGTAGCTGGGACTACAGGTGCTTGCCACGATGCCCGGCTTTTTTGTTGTTGTTGTTGCAGTTGTCATTGTTGTTTTAGCAGGCCCAGGCCGGTTCGAACCCACCAGCCTCCGTGCATGTGGCCGGCCTGTAACCACTGCGCACCGGCGCTGAGTCAACTATTGCTTAATTTTACTACTCTAATTTTATCCATCTGCATTTACCATTATCAGGAATTTTGGCCTCTCTCCCAAAATATTCTGGTCCAGGTGAATTCCAAGCATCATTGGCTCCTTTGATGAAATATATGGGGGAAAAATAAGAGAAAAGGTTTTCTTCAGGACACACTTAAAGGTACCTAGGGCCCATTTTGATTTACATTTTTAAGCTGAAATGCAATGTAGAGTTCAACTTGTAGGTGCAAATGGGTGTTTGGAAGTTAATACACCAATGGAGAGAGAAGTGTCACCTGCCTGTTAATTGCAAAACAGGCGGGGCAGCTGCCTGGGAAACCACCCTCAGGAATTTGAACGCACATCTGGAATTGGAATTGAAATTCTGTACGCAGAATACCAGCACCGTGCTCATTCCGCCTCCCTGCCTGGCACTTGCATGCACTGCTGGAAGATTTCTGAAGCACAATTCTATCCTTATGACCAACAACCAAATACCTATCGTAATCCTTCAAGTGCTACTTTACCCCAGTATGAAGCTACTTTGGGGAAAGACTATGTTCTTCACTGTTGTCATTTCTATGGGTGTGCCTAAGGCAAGTTTTTGTTTGTTTGTTTGTTTGTTTTGGTCTTTACATTCATTGAATGGGTTATTAATGACATTGACCCTCTCAAACCCCATCATACACTTGAAAGCATAAAATGTGTTGAGTGGAGAGTTATTTTGCTGCCAAATTCCTGAGGGTGGTTTCCTAGACAGCTGTCCTAAGGTTTCCTGTTGTCGGGAATGGAGAACCCTACTTGAAAATGGGGTTCCTGTCCCCAGAACAGCCTCCTGATGCTGCACATCAGGAAATACTCCCCCTCCAAAAGACAGGGATGTTCACACTTTAGACCATAGATTCCATAGCTGGTGAAGGTGACAAAGAGAATATCAGACCTTCTTTCCTTCACATCTCAGTTTAGTTTTGCCATACCAGTAGTTAGCTAAAAGGATGCTAAAATGATGGCATAGTTCATTTAAGATAATACATAGGCCTATAGAACTACAAGTATTTATAGTGTTAATGACATATACTTGCTTTCATTCAGGTTTTTCTCTGTGAATGATTTGACTTCGGCACTTGTTTCATCAAATGGTGGCTCATACGGAACTTGCTGTAAAATTTGATCTCAAGTGAAGCAAACAGAGGCATGTTAATACAGGCAATGCAATATGCTGCTCTCTGAGTACCTAAGGCAGTCTATGAATACTATGAATAAATGACACAAACTCAATGGATATAGGATATTATGCCCTAAGATACTTCGTCTTAGGAAGGAAAACTCCACGCCTACCTAAAACATTTCTGGAAAAATTGTGATTATGTGAGATATCCTGAGCAGTAAATAATGCCGACTAAAGATACAGCCCCAATCTCATGATATTTAGTACCATAACTGTCCTTCTTGTTCCTATTGTCTCTCTGACCCACCTCTGAGAGGGTCTCCAAAATGACCCATAAAAATGAGGCAGGGGCTGTGGGACAGGGGTAGAAATATGACAGAACAGAGTCTAGAAACCCAGAAAGCTCTTTGTTCATAAAACTGTTGCTAATTTTTCAGGGTTACTTTTCCTCAACTATATTAAGTTATCTTGCAGGCTTCTACCTTCCCTGGGAAGTAGCAGTTTTACTTTCCCTCAAGATTTTCTTTGCTAAGCCACAGAGAACAATGCTCACAAATTCCATTCATTTTGTGTACGTTCTGAGCCATGTTCAAGGTCTCTGTATACTTTGCTACCCATTTGACAGAATAGGTACTTAGGACAGGACACCAGAAAATTAACTGCCAGACTCACCACGAAGATGATGTGGTCTGCTCACCACCTCCTCCTTGATGAATGTTTGACCTATGAATTCCTGAAAATGCTGCTCAGAGAGAACCTGGTGAGTTCAGAGTGGCCCTCTGATGCCAAGGCCTACACTGGCATGTGCTGGACAGGTCAGCAGGTCCTAGAGGGGTAAAGGGATCTTCCCAAACCCTGAACCAGTCTCCTGCCTCCTGTCTCCTGCACTGGCTCCCCTCCTGCACGTGTGGGACTGGATGCAGAGACACAGGGTCACCTGCAAGGCTGAGAACAAGCCTCCTACCTCCTAGACAGCAGGTGCTTAAGTACAGCAAGTGGGGCTGCAAGCGCTGCCTACAGCTGTTCATTCACTCTGTCCTGATCGCCTGCCAGTTGGCCATCAATGCAGATTGCCTGAGCCTCTGTGATGGCACTCATGGAGAGGAGAAAACCCAGGGGTCTTGACATGGGGTGGCTCCCGGAACAAAAGGTCCATCACGTATCAAGAGATTCCCCTCTTGCAAACAGGAATCAGGAGGCATCGCTCTGTGGTCACAGCACCTCTGATCCAGCAGCTCCCCACTCATGGGGTAGCATGAGTGCTCACTCTCCCGGGAGCACCTCCTCACACCTGAGGCCACCCTGGGTCTCCATGGCTGATCCATACACAGGCACCAGGAAAGATGGGTGTGGTTCAGCCCTTTGTTCTCAGTCCCAGTTCTCTGCTAAAGAGAACTTCCCTGGACCTTAATACTTTTTGTAACTTATTGTTTTTTATTTTTATTTTATTTTATTTTTTGGCTGGGGCTGGGTTTGGACCCACCACCTCTGGCATATGGGACTGGCGCCTTACTCCTTTGAGCCACAGGTGCCACCTTGTTTTTTAATTTTTTATTGTGGTAAAATACACATCACAGAAAATTTCCATTAAAACTATTTTTATAATTCAAAAGCATCAAAAAGATTCATAGCATTGCAAAAACATTACTCCTACTTGTTGACATAACTTTTTTTATCATTCCAGACAGAAACACTGTACTCATTGCTATGGATTGAATGTGTCCCCCGAAATTCATCACTGGAAACTTACCTCCAATGTGGTGGTGTTGGAAGGTGGGGCCTGATGGGCAGTTGTGTGGTCACAGGAGCCCTGCACTCATGAGTGCATTAATACTGTTACTACAAGAATGACTCGTTATCGTGGGAGTGGATGCCTTACAAAAGGATGAGTTCAGCCCCCTCTGCTCTCTTCTGTGCCACCACCTTCTACCATAGAAGGCCTTCCCCAGAGGCAAGGTCCTCAATCTTGGACTTCCAACCTCTAGAGTAGTGAGTCAATAAATTTCTGTTCATTATAAATTAACCAATCTGTAGTATTCTGTGACAGCAGCAGAAAACAGAGTCATACGCATTTAGCAATAGTTCCCATTCTCCTCTCCTCCAGCGCCGGCAACCTCTGTTCTACTTTATGTCCCTATAAATTTCCTTATTTTAGATGTAAGTAGCATCATAGCTTAAGTTGTGCTTTGGGGTCTTGCTTATTTCACTTCAAGGTTCATTTATGTTAACAAATACTGTTTTTCCATTCATCTGTTGATGGACATGGGTTATTTCTCCCCTTTCCTATTGCAGTTAATACCACTACAAACAACGATGTACAAAATCTGTTTAAACTCCTGTTTTTAATTCTAGTGGGTATATCCCTAGAAGTGGAAATGCAGGATCACATGGTAATTCTACATTTAACCCTTTCAGCAGTTGCCAAACCGTTTTCCACAGTGGCAGCACTATTTCACATCTCCCCTGGCAATGTATGACCATTCCTTCAATATATATGCCCTTTATCCTCACCGTTCGTATAGCCATTCTAACAGGTGTGAATTCTTGTAATTTTGCATTTCCCTAATGATTAATAAAGTGGAGCATTCTCTCATGTGGTTATTGGAAATTTATATATTCTTGGCTCGGCGCCTGTGGCTCAAGTGGCTAAGGTGTCAGCCACATACACCTAAGGTGACGGGTTTGAATCCAGCCTGGGCCCACCAAAACAACAATGATGGCTGCAACCAAAAAACAGCTGAGTGTTGTGATGGGCACCTGTGGTCCCAGCTACTTGGGAGGCTGAGGCAGGAGACTCTCCTGAGCCCAGGAGTTGGAGGTTGCTGTGAGCTATGATGCCACAGCACTCTACCCAGGGGGATAACTTGAGGCTCTGTCTCAAAAAAAAAAAATTTATATATTCTCTCTGGAAAATGTCAGTTGAAGTCCTTTGCCCATTTTTAAATTGGGTTATTTTGTTGTTGTTAAGCTGTAGGAGTTTATTATGTATTCTGTATATTAATTCCTTATCTAATATATGATTTGCAAATGTGTTCTCTTATTCTTTGGAGAAATGCCTTTGGTGCACAAAATTTTTTATTTTGATGATATACAATTTATTTGTTTTTTTCTCTTATTCCCTGAGCTTTTGGTGTCAAATTTAAGACAGCATTGCTTGGTAGAGCGCAGTGGCTCACTCCTGTAATCCTAGTGCCATTAGAGGCCAAAGAAGGTGGATTGCTTGAGCCCAGGAATACAAGATCAGCCTGAG